TTCAGCCATAGCCAAACAGCAATGTGGGTATTACCGTATGGGCAAAATGGTGAGAATACTATTTCGTCGAAAGAAAAACCAAGCGTCTATGCTCCAGATAAAATTGGCAACGTTACCAGGGAAGTTACAGGGAGTGGCATCTGGAAAGTCCCCAGGCTGTGACGACATCAAGCCATCTGTTCTGAAACAGTTCACCGAAGCTCTGTGTAAGCCATTATGCGACCTGTCCCAACACCCAATGGATTCAAGGAAACTGCCAAGAGGAAAAGGACCACCTTTTCTCCTATTGTCAAGGGTGGAGACAGGCAAAATGCCACCAGCTATAGACCAATAGCGCTACTACCAATGGTATCAGAAGTACTAGAAAGCATAGTTAATGATCACTTCAGGGAACATCTTGACATGATTAATAGGGCACAACATGGTTTCAGGAGAGGAAGATCCTGAGTAACAAACTTACCATCAGATTGGAACGATTAGACAAAACGCTGGGATATGAATGTTCCAGTCCATATGATCTTCCTAGACTTTCAGAAGGCATCTAACACAGTTAACCATGACCCTCCCCTCAACAAAATAAGTCAGGCAGCATATGTGAGCCACTTCTGTCATAGTTTAAGGACTACCTCACCAAGGTAAATCGAGTCCAGTCATCTTGGCACAGGTGGTCATCGGGAGCGTCACAGCCCTCTGTCCTAGGGACGTTGGTGTGTTTGATTTTTATCAATGACCTACCATGCCTCCTAAGCTGCCCGATTCTTCTTTACTCCGACAATGTAAAGACGTGGAGAGCAGTAAAGTGCTCGAAAGACTGAGGTTTCAGGTAGACTTAACATTTCTGGAAGGCTAGGTGATGGCCAGTGGTGTGAATTCCAACCAGAAAAGGTGCAAAGTAGTGAAACTACACGCCTGTAGGCTGCAGAATACAAGTTATAACCTGTGCAATGGAAACCTGTCCTACACTAGTCGAAGCGTGACTTAGGTCTAGTTCTAACGGAGAAAATGATTACAAGCGTGAATTACAAGAGGAATAGAGCAAGGGAATATGCTACCATACACTTTACACTCACTCCTGAGCTCTTTCTAAGGTTGTAGAGCAAATAAGTCAGACCAGACCTTGAAGTGAAAATTATCATTGGAACCCCACTGCTTACAGTAGACACAAACGTTTTGGAAGCGACCAGAGACTGGCGACAAAAGGGTTGATGGATTTCCGAAACAAACCATGTGATGAAGGGATAAAGCAAACGGGCCTCTTCACACTTAGCTACAGTTGGCTTAAGGGAGACTTGATTACTGCCGATAGGATTGCAAATGACCAGAACTACCCAAACAAAGGTGTTCTGCCATTAAGTACTATTGGGCTTCCTCGTGGAAACCTTCAGAGGTTAGCTTACCAGAGGGCAAAGACTCGAGTGCGCTTCCACTTCTTTTCACTGCGAGTTTGCCGTCCCTGGAACTCCTTACCGACAGATGTAGCTACGACTCCATCTGTGTACAGCTTTAAAAGAAGGCTGGGCAATCATGCATCGACAGAAGGACTGCGTCCAAACGGCCTATCCCTTTTAATAACAGTAATGTATATTTTCATATAAACATAAATTTACATGAAAATACATGCCATTTTTACAGGCACGATCATACAGTGTTAATGCATAAACACATAAACTCATCGTTTTACTTCTTTATATTCTCTCTTGTCTTACTTTCTGGACTAATTTAGCTACTACACTTGCACTGATTATTACTAATACTATATACATATGAATTTACATATGTGAATATACATATATCAACTTCAAATTTAATCAGCGGTCTGTTTTTACGTTTACTTCATTCCTTTTTCTGTCTTTTAGTCTGCTTAACCTACACTAATTATATCTGTTGTTATTATCTGCTCTCTTTTGTCGACGACACCGAAGGGTTAACCGATGGAAGAATCAACTCCACCGTGACAACATACTCCTAACATCCAGTACATTACAAACAACATAATTAGTCCCAGCACCACTCCTTTTGGAGTCAACCAAAGCAATGATAGTTGAGTGGCGGGACGAACTACCCAGAAGTTTACCAAAGACCAGGGACCTTCACTTAACAACCAAGAAGCGAGCACAAAGAAATCTAATTGATATTCGCAGGACAGTAAATTTTGGGGAAGGGCCTTGTACGAAAATATTGTTCTGAAACCCACTTGCACTCATAAACCGCGAGGCTAGAACTAGCTAAAAAGACAAAGCAGGAACAATATTTTTATCACTAAGCACAAACAATGTGGCTTAAGATTTGAATCCTCAAACTGAGGCGCGAAAGTATGTTCTTATAAAATCTACTGAAAATAACGCGAGACAGTGCTTAATGATGAAAACGCTTGGCTCAGGGTTTTTAACAACACATTTCTACTGTGTCGGTCTACATTTCTACAGTGTCGGTCCACCTGTAGACAGGTAATGTTTTATTTGTGATTCTTCAAGCTCACATTGACTAATAAAACGTGTAGATGCGATAATTATCGGAGTCAGCATGCACGCTTATAGCGCCGACTTTTGCAAAGCTACCTAGGACCATACCTCATGTAATTTCCCTAACGAAAATCACTGCATATTAGCCTCTTCGGCACTTCAGTTATCGATTAATTGTGATAGATAACTTGAGTCCCCGGTTAAAAATAAGATTTTTAATCAACTTCACAAAACCATTTTGCATGAAATTGAACGTTGAACGTTAGTTTTTAGTGCATACTTAAATTGTTGGGCTACCCCAGAGTTTAGCGAAGGCGCTTAAGACGTTGCAGGTGAGTATACGGTTTCAGGTATAATAATGATTATCCGCCATGCTTTTCTGCCAAGTGTTTTTTACTTCTACAGAATTATAAAATTCAGTATATACCTAGATATTTGTCCAGACACATGGAATTTCTCACATCCCATACTAGCGAATCTTGCCATAGCACCACAATAAAGCAGAAATAGCTCCTTTATTGCAAGACTCGGTTTTAAATTAATTTTTTGAATAAAAGCTACCCGAAGATTCTTTCGATAAAAGTTCGCGTATGATTCACAATGGTTTGCACATTAAAGTTTTATGGAGTACTGAGGTACGTGCCTTTGTTTCAGGGAATACAGCGGTAATTTTGGGATTGTTTTGCTCCAAATAACTACATTGGTTCGCTCCCAGAAACTTCTTAGTCTCCCAAAATATTTCGTTTGAGCACATCGACAATACGGAAGGCGAAAATGGTCTGTCTTGTTCCAAAATGTGCTGTAGTTGGATTTCTGATTGAAAGAGATTACGTATAGGAAATACCTTGTCACGGACTGGATAAATTTTTCCAGCCATAAGTCATACTTACCAGGTATCACTTGTTCGCCATAATACCACCAAACATTGCAAATCCCGTCCAAATGGAACGGCATTTTTTTGAGAGTATCGAGAAGTGTCCGCCCAAGTGTTCTACTCATACATAGAGAAGATGGCAGATTTTCACAACAGTGTACCTCAACTGAGAGAATGATACAAACATCGCCAAATCTTTCTCTAAAAGACAATGAAATAAGATTTAAGTTCGAATGTAGTCTGTTGAATAAGTCTTCGGATGTGAAAGGTGCTCAAACCAAGGTCGAACAAAATACGTGTGGAATTTAGATTCTTTCACAGAGTGGTCAACGACTGGAGCTCCTCACCTGATTCAGCATTAACAGCTCCATCGGTAAACGCTGTCAAAAAGAAACTAGATCTCTGCATACATATATATCGCAAGGATTAACATAGGCAACAAGAGCCTTCAATCCTTATAATTTGAATCTGGAAATGAATGGTGGGTTTTCTAATTCTGTCGTAATAGTAATGTTGGGAATGAAATGTGATAGGTTTTTCTTAGCAGCAAACCACAATCTCTGGAATTCAGCACATTTTTTACAACTAATTTGCGAGTGAAGCATATCAGAATGATGTTGGCTTGTGTCAATCCTTCTAATTTGACTCTAATCAGTGACAGTACACGTAGCATGTGCCCTGCAATCATGTGAACGTGATGCACCAAGTAATAGTCCGTACCTGTTGTATTTGAGATGGTGTCTCTAAAACTGATTTTTTTCCTTCACGTTCCCCAGTGGAACATAAGGCTTCAAGCTAGAAGCTTGAAGTTTTTGTAGCAGTGTTTATTTTACAGGATGGGATTTTTACCCTCATGCCCAACCTTTACTCTTCACCAGCATTAATTCTGGCTTAGCGAGGTAAAGGAGTGCGTCGGCCGGGGATCGAACCCCGGACCATGTGCATGGTCGGCGAGCGTCCTAACCGCTATGCCACGACGCACAAAACTTTGATGGTCCTCCATTAATGTTCTTTACTGTTTTGTTAGTGTCCCTGTTCTTTGTATTCTAGATTCTGCTGGTACTTCAGTGGCAGATAAACGTTACGTATGCATATCACTTCGATTTCCTGTATAACGCCTGTATAGATAAAGCGAACAAAACTGGAATATTATTGTAAGAAATAAATACGAAGTAAAGAAAAGGAAACAATTACAACTTGTGAGATTGTCTGACCAAGATTAAATATGTATGTCAGTGTGATTATAATAGCTCTTAAGTATGAGGACAATCTTAACACTTCCAAAACCTCAGCTATGTAACCTACGTTACCCCAAACTCTTCATACTACTGACCATGGAATCGGTAGATTGATGACATCTCTTAGTCTCACCACCTATAATTCTTGTTAGCCTAGTTATACTTCAGCTGTCATTGTTTATCGAACAATCTGACTCATATGTACAACGCTCTTCCTAGTTAACACATTCAGGGTCCCCTCATGCCAGGAAGTATGACGCGGAATTAGGAAAATAAACATCCGAAGTTCGAGAAAGTAGCAGCGCTAAACACCTTTCTTGATAAATGCCGTGCGTCGGTGGCACGGTGGTTATGACTCTCGCCGACCATGCACATGATCCGGGGTTCGATCCCCAGCCGACGCGCACGTGATATCTATGATCGGCCTGCAAAATTTGGGCTACCGATATCACATGCTGAAAATTCCATACTTTTACCAAAAATATGGTGTGGAATCAAGCTATAACAAAAAAATAGCAACAAAGTCATAGAAATGTAAATGTCGTCAGCACTTGAACTTCAAAGAGAGCTCAACATAACCATCTGAATAAAATAAGTGGGAATGCTTTAAACGGTTTTATTCGAAGCAGTACTAACTTGATTTAATCATGCAAACAGTGAAACTGGAGTTAAGTGTATTTGATTGAGTAAAGTGCTAAATAAGAACATTCTTGAGGATTTCCGGAAATACCATTCTTCTTGTTTTAGTGTTGAATTAGCCTTAAATTCTAGAGTAAGAGGAGTAGAACTCACCGCTAGACAGCTGAAACAGGGTAGTATGTAAACCAACCTATTAGTGAATATTCTTCATATATTTTCAGGGGTTGTCAGGGACTCGTCTTTTTGGACTGCAGTCACAGTAGTTATTATCTGTTTTGTTACCCATATATGGCTCTCAATGTTTAAGTTAACTGTGCATCACTAGTCAAAATTAATTAAATTAGAAATATGAGGTTTGACACTTTTGTTGGGCTTCAAATAATAAAATGGACAAAATATATTCCGACCAAGTCTTAATTCTTAAGGTCTTAGAGTAATACCAATACTTCAATCATCTTATTTGCAGGCACTCAAAATATTTTCATCTTTTAATCATTCTGTCTTTATCGTGAAGTCCAATGCACCATTTATCTCAAATACAATCTGACCGACACCTCTAGGTATACCTCCAATTTTTACCACTTTTTGGACAATACTCTAAGTGAAGACAGTGGTTGAAACTTCTGTGACAAAAGCTGTGCTGTCTGGGTAAATTTTGCCCTTTTGCTTAATAAGTATCCTCTTGAAAATTTGCATAAGTTGTTTATCTAATTCACCTCTAGTGACATTAGGTATGATTCCTCACATCTTTATTTTACCACTTTCATATCAGTGTAATAATCTTCTTTATTTTAGTTGAGTCTGATGCGCTTGAGTTCCTATCCATGTTTTATTCGTTTGGCGCAGAATTTACAAGTTCAATCATGTAAACTATTCTCTGTAAGTTTTTCTTCTTTATTGTTGATATTCAATATATAAAATCACTGGTTTTCATGAAGACAGCATAAATTCTGCCAAAATAATACAGTTTACGCTATTTCAAGTTTAGGGATAATGTTTGTCTGCTGGCTTAACTGATAGCCAGTAGAATTTCTAGCCGTCCTATCTTCTATCATAGTGATACTATGTATTTTTGTGTAGTGTGATAGAGAATATTATATCAAAAGTTATTTTTTGGAAATACCCAAGAGGTTATATGAAACCCCTGCAAACGAGGGTGCTATCAAATTGCACGGCTCTGTGTTGGCGATCTCCCGGTGAGATAATAACTCTTCCTATCTTTGAAATGAGTACCAGCCGACCACAAATAGAAAATTTTCAGAAGTGGTCAGCGTTGTCATTTCATCGGCATAGGACTGCATTGTTGCCTTCAGCGCTTTTAGCAATAAACTATTCATTTGATAAAATTTATCCTTTGCTTGAACTGCTTGTCGAAACAGAAGTGGGTAGAACAAAGCTGGAATGTGGAATTAATTATTTGGTGGTTAACAGTTTACTCCAGTTATATCTCCAAATAGACTACACGTGACTCACACGGTAACACACTACTTTCGAGATTGTGTGTGTAGGTTGAGTATGTAGATTCGTGTTCCTTTCTTCGTTTTATTATTGTTATTATTATTCTTTTGCTTATTATCTATCCAACAGACAGGACAAAATTTACAACCAACAGTGGACAATGCAGCTCCTAACTGGATTTCTGTTTCTGGACATTCTACAGTAAAAGATTCATGGTACAATTTAACTCCGCATATTATTGAGTTAACAAAACGATCATTGCATAATCAACAACATCATCCATTGAATTTAATTAAACAGCGTATTGTCGACTTCATGTTTAAGGTGAAAAATCTTTTAAAGCTTTTATTATTTTAAAAAAAGGAGTGAAACTGTTTGAATTAATGGCGGAGATTTTCAGCCAATGATGATGGTGGAGAGGAGGAGAATGGAAATTGTCTGATGTGTTGTCTGAGCTTTGGTGTTTGATTGTCACCAAGCCAACTACAAATGGATGGAACACATCCACGATAAAAAAATGATAAAGCTCGGACAACGTCAAACAATTTCTAAAACAGCATGTAGATTTATTATTTTAGAGAATGTTTATATCGTGTGCGTTGGTGGCACAGTGGTTAGGACTCTCGCCGACCATGCACATGGTCCTGGGTTCGATCCCCTGTCGACGCACACCTGATATCTATGGTCGGCCTGCAAAATTTGGGCTACCGATATCACATGCTGAAAATTCCATACCTGTTCCAAAAAATACTGTGTGGAATCAAGCTGTAAATGCAAACTGATCACCGTATAGTGATTGTTTTAGTACTAATCAACGCTTTTTCATAGTGTTACGGTATTTAAGTGTCAGGTATTGGTTGTTGGTCATAAGGGAATTTTATTATATTCAGTACTAAAGTTAATACAATTGACCATAATGTCTGTTATAATTAGATGATTGTAGGCAATTGGCCACAGGAAGTCTTGGCTGAACCCAGGTCCCGTGTTTGTTGACACTCACCAGTCAGTAAGGTGTCGTCTCTACAACCTAGGTGGAAGTCTTGTCCCTTCTGAGATTCGAACCCGCGTCACCCAGTGAGTGCTGCAGTCAGAGACGTTACCACTGAGCAACGATTCGGGCTCACGATCGACCTCCTGCAGGACTGTATTGGGTACTTTGATTGGACACTAGCTAGCAACCTATGTAATGTGTCTAGTCTCCATTGTTTGTTACAGACTGAATTCTATCAGTCAAGTTACTGTTTGGTTATCCGTTTGTGTGTATATACTTCATAGTTTTAACAGTAGGAATACCAGTTGTTGCTTGGGTTTAGGTAAATGTTAAAGTTGTCAATTTCATGACTATGAAAGTGCTGCTGCTGTATTTAAATTACTTAATTAGCGTGCATTTTGTTGGACTTTTAGTTGCTTCTCACACACATCTAGTGCTCAAATGGCTTGAAACAGTTATAGTCAGGTAATACATCTCATATATTGGAAAAATTGTCCATTTTCTTGCACTAAGTACCAAGAACCATACTTTTTGGTGATAATACGTGTTAGCCACTAATTCACGGTTGGTTAGGGAAACAAGGTTCAAACCAACTACCCATCATCATCGGTGGTATGGCTACCACTAAGGCCAGTTAATTTCACCTTCAAACTGACTGATACATTATGATAGTAATGATGGTCAATTGACAATGGTTCATTCCATTTACCCTTTTTTCTCTCTTCCAACCGCCTATTCCGTTCAGAATGTTTTGTTTCAATGTGGTTTACGTTAGTAGTCAGCCAGTAGTGATTAGTGAACGGTTGTTTGTACCCAGGACTTAATATGAGATTAATTCAAGAAGTCTCCATTATTTTTGAAGTTATATTATCGTACAAGCGTATATTCAAGTCTCTAAAGTAAAATTATATAATCAGATAGGGGAAATGCGGACATTGTTTTTATGAGCCATTCAACATTCAAAGAAAGGGGGGAGATTAATTCGCTTTACTGTGATCGATTCTTGATCGGTATGATCCAAATCTGCCATTATTAACTATCTGTGACTCTATATGCTTCTTTAATATTGTTTAGGTGGATATCCCTAGGTATCGTCTAACTAATTCTCACACTACTCGTCAAAGAAGTATCCACCACTCTGTGTATCTCTTATTCATTTGTGTTCAGTGCGTACATTAGTTCTGTGAAATGGTAAAAGGTCTGAATAACAGTAGAATGTAGAGGGCGAGGTATTAACATTTCCCAAAACTGGTTCTCTTGAACTAATCCCTTGATCTTTAAATGGTTTAGTTTAAACTGCACGTGTTTTATGACAGTGAAAAACACACAATACTCGCACATCCTTGATTGTTTAAGAGTAGAATGCTGTCTGACCACGCTCATGGTTTGGGTTCGATTAGGGCCAGGCGGCGTACTCCTAATCCTCGCCTCCTTTACCAGCTGACACTAATCCCGGAAAAGAAGGAAGATCGGGTGTGAGCCTGGCGAACTCGCCCACTGAGAAGAACATCTCCACTACTGAAATTTCAAGGCTTGGAGATTGGAGCTGTTGTATGTTCCACTCGGCGGACTAATAATGTGGTCGCCTGAATACTCGGAGGTTCCACTTTTTTTTCCAAAGTTCAACCAGGGAATAAGACTGACCGGGATTAAGCCTTTATATTTAAGTGAGAATGATAGTTTTCTTTATTTTTGAAGTATCTGTGAGCTTATTCGTGTTTAACAGGCTTTTTTATCAGTATTGTAATTTACATTTTATACTCATCACTACTGATACAATTCGACTTCAAATCAAAACATAATACTGTTGTTAATCAACATACATACTTCTTTCCTTTCTCTCAACCCCTCCCCCATACATTTTAGCGTCATGTTCGTCATAAATGCGATGATGGTCACAATGGGACACCATTATTCAGTCTATATGATCATTTGTCACCAGTGGTAACAGTACGACAAAATTTCGACAGTCTTCTAATCCCACCAGATCATCCAAGTCGACTGCGTACAGATACTTATTATTTGAATGAAACAACCGTCCTACGTAGTCATACATCAGCGCATCAACTAGATTTACTCAGTTCCGGTTTGAATGCTTTTCTTGTTGTCGGTGATGTTTATCGACGTGATGATATTGATTCATTGCATTATCCTGTCTTTCATCAGCTAGAAGGTGTTCGACTGTTCACATCAGATGAAGTAAGGAGAAGTTATTTTACCCCCTTCTTGTCTTTTTCTCAATTAATCTCTGTAAATATTTTGATTTTAAAGCTATTTTTTGCCTGGGATACATAATGGTGACTTCTACTGTGCCTAAATGTCTTGATCTCACTCCTCAACCATTCTTGTAGTTTATGACTGGACTGGACTGGTTTCAACATAGAACTTTGCACAGATGTGCAGCAGTTTGAGTCGTCACACTCCATGTAGCACACAAAGCAAAAGAAGAAAGTAGAAGAAATGCAAAATAGAGACAGTAGATAGGGATATGAGGTAAAAAGAATAGTAGTATTGAAGAACAGTATAGTTTTATTGGGTATTAAAAGTCACAAGAAGTGGATGCATCTGTGCCATCACTGAGAACGATTTTGAGCCAATCATACCACCAATTGTCTGCAGTCTTCATTGGTTTTCACCGTCCCGAGGACCGCAACCAGGTAGTCTGCACCTTCCTACGTAGTAGTGGTTTGTAGTTTATGAAGTCATATAGACAGATTAGTTATTTAAAAGATAGTCGAAATGCTTTTTTGTCAGCCGTCGATGAGTAAATTGTGAAGGTAGTCATCTCTTTCACTTACCTGACCGGGCATCGTCATTCTAGATACAGATATGGATGGCGCAGATATGAATGTTTCAAAGCCAAGATCAGAAAACCAAGACAAAGTGACTGATCCCAAATCAGTGTAGAAATGTACTGTACTCAGCATAAGGAACATGATTCTGGTCTTCAGTACCAGTATCAAATCAGTGCTCCTCTGTAGTCCAGAGAATTGGGGCACACGTCACGGAAAGCATTTGCAACAGACTACTGCAGGATTTTATCAACAGCTGCCTTCACACAACACTGAGGGTCAGATGATCCATCGGGAAGGAATAAACAACAAGGGACTCTGTCAGGAACCTATCGCTCAACAAACCTACTGAAGGAAATAGAGGTGGATTGGATACACTCTGAGGAGACCGTTCAGTAGCATCACACATGAGGGTCTTCAAGTGGAAAGTGAATGGGAGACGACGAGTTAGATATAGGTCGGATGGTGACACAGAGGAGAGAGTGTGTGCAATAAGTGAATGGTTTCGTTGAGTGTATTTAATTAAACGCCTGACTTTGCTTCACAAACTGTCCTTAAGCTTCATTTATCACTGTACCAGCATATTCTCCATTACAATGTAAATAACTTGAAATCAATTAATTATGTTAGATAGTTAGTTGCATCAAGATAATGTGTAAACATTAAACAGTCCTTCCTCCCCCGTCAACTCATCCACAGCTGAATGAAATGTCCAAATCGTATCAACCCCAGCTAAATTGCATGCATCGATTTATGCTGTACAGGCTTGTCACGTACTCTATATTCAAAGTGAAAATCACACGGTTAGGCGCGGTTGAATTTACGTGGTTTTATTCGGGAAAGCTACAAAATACTTAGATCCACATGTATTCTGCTCTTGTCATTAGAAATGAAGTCAAAATTTATGTACCCAAAAACTGTGCAATATGTATGACTAATTCAGTATGAAGGGCTAGAAAGCACTATTGTGATTGGTGTCAGTGGTGTAAAGATGTTAAGTGTCTAGAAAGGAAAACCTTAATGGAATTTGTCAACTGCTTCTCAATTTGAAAAAAAGTGTAAAAACGATATCTGACCGGCCTGTTGGTAAATTGTGGTTCAGTTTAATTTCAACTTACTTAAAACCTCATCTCATTCCAAGGTGATTGAGTTTTGGTATATTGTGGCTCGGTGGGAGGGAAATCAAAGTGAAAAGAAGATGTTCAAGTGTTATTTTGCAAGCATTTGATTGGTTACAGCATTTAATCATGAGCTGATATCGGTTAGAGAACCTCCTGGAAAACCTGGGAGTGATGGACAGATGTTTCTCTCAGGTTTGCTACTCTTCATCAGTACGCACCCACAGAGGTTTGAACCTAGGACCTTCCGGTCACATGGCAAGTTCGTAGACCATCCAGCCACTAGGATTCGATTCAATGGCCCATGAATTCCAACGTCTGCCAATTTACAATATAGCGCGATTACTAGCCAATGTCATCGTCGCGATGACCTTTTCTCACATGGGCGTTGGGCCAAGTGTGTGTTGCATCACTTCGCAGAAATAAAGTACAGACTATATATCCGCATACGTTAAAATTGCTGAATGCTTTGTAGTTATGTTTGCATTATTAATATTACTGTAAGACAGTACGAACAGCGTTTGTCACTGGGGCGCCGGTGCATCCAGCTGACGAGTCCCTAAACAAGGCAAAATGCCCGTCCTAGATTCTTCCACTTATAACCATCATCAACCATATAACATTTGCATTATTTTTCCAGTTTAATTACTAATAATTTAATTGTATGTATTTATGTCTATTATTAATCTGTCTCCTTCTTCTTTGTAGTTATTTCGAAATGCTATTGATCCCAGTCATTGTCTTCGTCTATTCGAAGATATTCCATCCTCTTCACCGTATAATCAACCAGAGATTCATCCATTCAAAGTTTATCCATCATATACACTTCCGTGTGATAAACAACCAGGGCATACAACAGAGACAAAAATGCTATTGGAATTCGAGTTGAAAACTGTTCTACAAGAAATGGCTAAATTTTTATTTGGTCCAGGTAAATAGTCTCTACATTGTGTTACTGTTATTCACATTCATTGGAGGGGGGGGACAAGTATCTTTTCTCCCCCTTTTTCGCCTTCTTAGTGGAACATAGGGCTTCAAGCTTTAAGAACTTTGAAGTTTCAGTAGCTCTTGTGTTATTTTTACGGGGTGAGGTTGCTAGCCTCATGTCAAACCTCTACTCTTTTTCTGGCTTACCATATGCGGGTTAGTAAACTAGGCAAGTGAGGCTTAGAAGTGCGTCGGCCAGGAATCGAAACCGGATTTCCCACGTGGCTGTCAAGCATCCCACCCTTGAACCGTTGAATATCATAAACTTGACATCAATTTCACAATTTACATATAACATCATTATCATCATTCTCTCTACTGTGAATGTTTTTTTCATCATTTTCTTTTCGTCTATTAATCTCTTCTCAGCACTGTCACTTTCCCGGGTTTCTTCAGACATCACCGCCACATACTACTTATTTGTCTTTATAAGTAGCGCATTAATATTCTTCTTCTTTCAACGTGGTTATTCAGCAACAGCGGTTGATTTGACCGACGCATTACTGCGTGTGTGAGAGTTAAGTGTAACTAGTTAGTGTGCTTCAGAACTATGGTTCAGTGGTAGGAATACCCACCAGCCACATTGGCGGTCCGGGTTCGATTCCAGGCCGATGCACTCCTAAACTTCGCGTAGAGCTTACTAGTCGTCAGTAAACCCGAAACAGAGGTTAGCTTGGGTATTAGGCTAGCAACTCCACCCGGTAAAAACAACACGGCTATTGAAGCTTAGAGCCCACTATATTCTAATCAAAACTAGAGAAATAAAGAAAAAGAATTAGTGTGCCTCAGAACTGTGGAGACAAGTTAGACTTCATAAATTAATATTTGGTACCAAGATGCTTATACACATCAATGTGAATTGCGTAAATTTCCTTTATTTATCATGAGTGACTTCACCGTACTGTTATTTTAACTACCCGGATAATAGGGCGTTTATATGATACATACCTTTTTCGAAGTGGCGCCACCTGCTTTATCTGTTGGGGATTAGAGCATTTCAATAAATAAATATACAAAAATCCAACCTACTATCTACTTCGTTCCATTACAAAGAGCAGATATCGGTATTGAAGTCAGATTTTCTGAAAAAGTATAGCAAAAGTAACTCAGTTCAAGAGGATAATATCACTGATAATATGTACATCAGAAAAAAATTTTAATGCAAAATTTCAGTTAAAAAGTATACAAAAAATATAACTTGTTATCAAACCACCACAGCAATGGACTACAGTTCCACAATTATAGTGGGGATGTTTCATAAAACCACTTCGAAAGAAAAGTAATCGAGAGTACTCTATGCTGGTCATATCTAGATACATTATCAAGTAGTATATTTTGCTCTGCTCATGTTTCGAATTCATGAATAATCCCCATCCAGACATTAATGAAGCACAAAACACGTAGTTCAGCTAAGAGTCTCTTTTCGCCGGTGAATTCATTCACTTAGCTGTACAATCTCAATTATATATACTTATTTCTGTGTGTGTGTGTGTGTGTGTACATTAAGCTTGTCCGATAAGAATAAAAATAAGTTAGGGTTATTGTTGTCAAGACATTTCAAAAATGTGATGAGTAATCAGATTGTATATAGGGGTTCGATCCCCGGCCGACGCACTCCTTCACCTCGCTAAGCCAGAAATAAAAGGCTGGTAAAGAGGAAGGGTTAGCCATGGGGCTAGCAACCCCATCCTGTAAAAATAAACACTGCTACGGAAACTTCAAGCCACTAGCTTGAAGCTCTATGTTCCACTGGGAACGTGAAGGATCTCTTTCTCGCGTTAGGTGGTATAATAAGGTAAGTAATGTTGACGTTAGGCGTAGAGTGTTGGGCAAAGAGGGAAAATCAATCGAAGAGGCTATGAAAATACATAGATTGAGATGGTTAGGCCACGTGCTGCGCATGCCTAACCATCGCCTCCCCCGACGGGCATTACTAGCTGATATAGGTGCAGGTTGGAAAAGAGTAAGTGGTGGCCAAACAAAAACATGGCATCAATCCATGAAATCCTTGACAGTTAAACTGAGTCAGGTAGGGAGATGCAGACTTCCGGGTTGGGGTCCTCGGGACTCTAAGAATCAATGGTTGGAGACACTAGGTGACATGGCTCAAAATCGTTGTCAATGGCTTACGCAGATGTATTCAGTCTCTGTAATCTTTCATATTCCTTTCTACCATTACTCATTCTGTTTCACTCTTATACTTGTCAAAACTCTATTGATTCTCTTCACTCATTTCCTTGTCTACCTTTGTGTGCTATTTGGAACGTGGCAACTCGAACTGGTGCACTTCGGTGGCAAGTTCTATGTTGAATCCAGACAGACAGAAGGAATAAAAAAAATAAAAAAAAATAGGGGTTGGGTTGAAGATTGGTAAGGGGGTAGTGGTGATGCGTTGTCAAAAAAACAGAGTTATTTATGCTGATCAACACATAAAAGAAGCTGAATAAGCGTAGTACAGTTACGTAATAAGATGAATAGTTTAATGAGTGAGTTGTGATTAGGATGTACATGGAAGCAAAGGAAAATATGGAATTATGTAAGAGTTCTAAAAATTACAAATGTTACAAGGAGCTAGAAAAGAAACAAGCGTACAAACATCAAGTTAGTAGTATCAACAAAGTTGTTACCATGATAGTAGAAGTGGTTGGATGATTTTCTTTTTTATACATAAATCTAGTTTTTCCAGCTAAATGACTAACGCTTCAGCTTCACCTGATGTACACACACACGGAAATAAGTATATATAATTGTGACTGTACAGCTAAGTGAATGAATTCGCCGGCGAAGAGCGACTCTTCGTTGAACTACGTATTTTTTTAAAGATATTTCTAATATTGAGCATCCCGTTGACTTAACAGTCATCCAGGTTGAAACCTTCAAAGATCATTGCATGAATAATTTCAACCTTTTTTATTTCTCTCACGTCATCTGTTGGTGTTTTTATTCTCATAGACATACAATATCGTTGGACTGAAGCATATTTCCCATTCACACATCCATCATGGGAATTAGAAATCAAAACAAAATCTGGTTACTCCGGTGATGGTGGCATTGAAGAATGGACTGAAATATTAGGATGTGGTATAATGCGTCAAGAATTACTAGAACGTTGTAAGTTAACTTTTTATTGTTTAAAAAAAAAAAATCGAAATACCTTGTTTTTATTAAGTGATTACAAAAAAATTTTTGTGGTAAAAACTTTTAGTGTAACAGGAGTAGGCAAGAGATTTGGTAACGGACTTTTATTATTGAGGAAATTCACATCGTATTTATACATTTTTAGCCACATTTACGGTTGACTGGATTAGCAGATAATAGACTGTTCTGATTGATTGTTGATTTTCTGAAGGTCAAAACTGTCCTGATTGGCTGTTAAATTTTTGTAGGCTGAAACTATCCTGATTGGTTGTTTTCAATTTTGGCTACTTCTTATCAATCTGCATCTATCTACTTCTGATAATTCTTGTCGGTAGATTAATTGAGGTTGTTTATTGTATAAACTTCCCCTGATTTCTCCTTTTTTATTGTTATTCACTTGGGTTCCAAGTAAAACATAGTTCTTCAGCAGCGCATCTCCTTTTCGTCCTGTTTCCTCCGGTTGTTTCTAGCTGGTTCCATGATTGTCGAGTGCAGTGGTCTGCTTAAAACTTGAACTACCAAAATCTTCCATCTCTGTATTGCGTGTAGTCTCTCTAATTTGCTTTGTTTTAATCGGATCAGATATGACCTCTAATGGGTTTTATTTACTCTTGCGTGTATTTAAGATGTTTACAACCTGTTGATTCGCAAATTTTCTACTAAACTTGTGGAAAGACCTGATCGTATGTGACGACCTGTCCCCAGTACATGAGATAACTGTTCATGAGTTATGTTCTTGGGTCTCAAAATGCACTCCTGAACTTTTTATAATTGTCATTCAACCGAATGTCGTGGATTACTTAAAGGAATATCTTAGTGGGATTGGTTTGTGCTTCAGTGCAGAGAGCATTATGTCACAGGATATACTGTCAGTCAATATTTTTGATTGGACACTAGTGACTGACCAGTGTCCAATCAATAATATCCAATACAGTCCTACGGGAGGTTAGTCACGAGCCTGAACTGCTCAGTGGTAACGTCTCTGACTGCAGCACTGAGTAGTGACGCGGGTCATGAACCTCAGAAGGGACATGAATTCCTTCGAGCATGCAGATACGCCTTGCTGATGAGTCAGTTAATATTTTTATTTGAAGATGCTGTATTATTTTTATTGTTTCCTTTAATTCCTAGAGGAACATAGGGCTTCAGCCGTGCGTCTCCATTGCGTTCGGTTCTCTGCTACAGTCTTCACCTGGCTCCATGTCTGCCCACACGTTTTCATCTCCTCTTCACATGACCTCCTCCAAGTCACCCTTGCACTGACAACCAACACGCCGCTTTCCTTTCGGGATTTCACTCAAGGGCTTGTCTTGTGATGTCACTTAGTGGTTTCCTCAGTGTATGGCCAATCCATCTCCATTTCTTCCTGCTTAATTGTTTCACAATCGGTTCCTGCTGAGTTGGTTCATTCCCAGAGATCTCTGTTGCTGATCTTTTCTGGCTGGCCATCTGATCTTGAGTATTGAGCGAAGATAGCTGTTAATGAAGGTCTGTAGTTTGTTTGAGATGCTCTTTATGACGCGCACTGCAAGTCTCTGATCCGTATGGTGAGTAGCACTGACTTCACATTGGAGTAGAAAATCCGGATCTTATTTTTGAGGCTGAGTGCTGTTGACCTCCACACAGACTTGAGAGTAGTGAAAGCTTGTCTTGCTTTTCCGATCCTTGCTTTGATATCCTCGTCAGTTCCACCTGTAGTTGAAACGATGCTTCCCAGGTAGGTAAAAGAGGTTGTTTCTTTCAGATTCCTTCTAGTTATGCTGATTGTTGTCTGTTGTTGTTGTTCTTGTCCAGGAATCTTCACCACCTCTGTTTTCTCTATGTTCACCTGAAGTCCCATCTTTGATGCTTGAAGATGCTGTATGAAGGGAAAATATCATACAATAAACTCCGGTGAAAATGGTGTGCGTTATAGAAACACTGTACACAGTAAAGCTATTATTATTATTGTCCGTAAGCTCTCATTTCTTCTTCACAAGACCTTCTGCATGCCACTTTTATAACCACGTCAAACTATTCATTTCCCATTCGGGTTCCACTCGTGTGTCTGGCGCATGATGTCATTCAACGGTCTCCTCAGGGTGTATCCAATTCATCTCCATTTTCTTCTGCATATTTGTTGGGCAGTAGTACCTTGGTTGATTCGTTGCTCTACAGAGTTTCTTGTTTCTTATTCCTTCCGGTAGCGAAGGCGGCATATTCGTTTATTGCTCCCCAATCTTGCTTAGCCTCAGGTAGCTTAGGTATCAAAAGTTTCATGGGCGGCTCGAACAGCTTCCCCATGAATGCCTCTGGTACAACCAAGATCACGCTTGAGAACATTTGGAAAACATTGACTTATTCCATCAAACGTACATGAATTCTCGATTTGATTGCTTGTGTAGTGCCTAATAATAACCTTGATAATACAAGACCCTTGAACTAACAAAGACCAGAAGACTTTTTTTATTATCGGCAATATAGCAAACTGTTGTTTTAATAGTAAAATTACGAAACTAAACTAACTGATAAGTTTTTCCTGCTAGTGACATTTGTCCGATGCATGCACTAATTACAGTTTGTAAAGTTTTCTGAAAAAAAAGTCGTCCGATTTCACACCATAGCCATCTGGAGGTAAATGTGAAATCTGATGCTGTATTGACCTATGACCGTACATAGACATTTACATAAACATTCGGCGGTCAGGTGCATAAGCATGTGAAACCTCTATGAGGCTAAGAAACTTATCTACCGGTTGGGAGTGGGATCTTCGGCGGTAACTGAGTGAGTGTCGTTGTGTGTGTCATTGACAAAAGCCTTCTTAGTGTCCAATGTTATTGTTCACCTGTACCTTTTTCTGCCTATTCGTATATGTAGCTGGGATACCCAACAAAGTTGGTTATGCATTTGGTTTAGGCCTGGAGAGATGGGCTATGCAGTTGTATCAGATCCCGGATATTCGACTATTCTGGTCGAAAGACGAAGGCTTTTTGAATCAGTTTAGAACAGATGATATTCACGCGCCAATCAAATACAAGGTGATTAACACTTTTTTATTATTACTGTTATTAATTTCTTCAGGATTACAATTAGTTGTTTAGTTTACTCCCCTTAAGAATTATGCTTAGTTGTAAAATTTATGGAAATCAGAAATAGATGATTAGCTGTGCTGACCGTTATTTTAGCAGTCTTTACTAATGGTCTATGCGTCTGATGCTTTTTCGCTTAACAAAATATAATAAGTATTGTTTTTTGTAGGGATTTTGTTTGATTTGGTTGGAGGATTTCATCATGAGCTGACATCGGTTAAAGAAGCATTGGAAAACCAGCAAGGAGTACTGGACAGCTGTTTGTCAGCCTAGTTTGGGACTCTTTGTCAGTACGCACCCATCAACACTGTGGTTCGAACCCAAGACTTTCCGGTTACAAGGCTAGCGAGCTCGTAGACCATTAAGGCACTGCAACCCGATCCAATGGCCAACCCATGAATTCCAACTTCTGCCAATTCACGACATACCCCCAGCACTAGCCAATGTCATCACCGGCGAGTATTTGTCTTCACACCCGACCTGCTTCGCCCTACTAGTCACAAATTCCCACTAGAACCAAGGTAACTACCTACTTGAATAGAGACAGTCGACAGTGAGCATTTCATTGATATTCAATTATTGGTTTGTAGGTATTTGATTGGTTGGCTACAGGATTTCATTATCAGCTGACACCGGTTTCGAACCCCAGTGCGTGCGCATTGCTGAAGAGTCCCAAACTAGACTGACGAAACAGCTGCCCAGTACTTCCAGGTTTTCCAATGGTTCTCTAACCAATGTCAGCTCATGACGAAGTCCCGTAAGTACAAATAAATTAACGAACACAACTGTATGTAACGTCAGATGAGAATTTGTCAACTGTCAATTATTACAATTTACAACTCATGCGGTATATAAAAGTCACCTTGCTAGCTAGCCATTTCTTTTTGTTTTGTAGTATTAAATCTGCGCTGGTTACTGGGATTCAGCTTTGTAAAAATAAAAAAACAAAGCTTAACTCTACTAGTCTGTTGCTCACTGTTGATTTTTTAGTGGACTATTTGTGTCTTTTGACGAATGAATTGTACAGAATTATTGTCAAAAGTTGGATTAAGTTCCTGATTTCAACGTGCTTTTGTTAAACACTGAAAAACAGTATAATAACCTAGTCCATTTAAGTGAATTATATGACAGAAGCTTTCGAAATCTGACTGAAGTCGTCGCCTTCTACTTGGGATTCTGATGGATGCATCGTCGAATTTTGCCACATATATCCAGTTGAATACTATATCATCATCATTATGTTATTTTTCCCTTGGGTTACAAGTGAAATATAGAGCCTCAACAGCACATCTCCACTTTATGCTAGTCTCTGTGGTCCCCTTTAGCAGACTCCACGGTTGTCTATAGTCTCTCATCTCCTCCTTGCACGATCTTCTCCATGTCATCCTAGGAATCCCCACTCATAAGTATAAAACTTGGGCACTGTGGTAGAGTATAACTCCATAATCGTTAAGATTTTATTTTGATAAATCACACAGTGTTGTACAGTTATATTAACTGATGACGTTTCGAGCAAAAACTATTGCTCATAATCATATCAAGGTGCTTGATTATGAGCAATAGTTTGTGCTAGAAACGTCATCAGTTAATATAACTGTACAACACTGTGTGATTTATCAAAATAAAATCTTAACCATTATGGAATCCCCACTCATCGGTTTGCATTCTGGTTCCTCTCGAGCGATGTCATTTGGCGGCCTCCCCAGTGCATGCTTAATGCATCTCTATTTCCCCTGAATACTACCATATAGTAAGTAAAACCTACAGTCATTCGTAAAATCAAACAATGGTTCGGTGTTCAGATCACTTTGATGTAGCTAACCAGCAATATGGTTTGTCGTGAGTTGTCCTCAACTGCTCATAACAATCAGTAGTGCGTAAGAAAAAGTGTAAAAATGTGCACCACTCTAGACGATGCTGATTCATATTATACTGGGTATCTCTATCCATCGACTCCAGGCATTTTGAAGATTCTAACCAGACTGTCTTCACCTCAATGCGGCTCAATTCAACAATCAGAAACGTCATGTATCGATGATACCATGTTTTCGTCTGAACACAATCAACCCTTTCCAATCCAGCCTGAAATAATGTTAGTCGGAAATGTTGGTGTCTTTGCAAGTATATCACATGTTCCAAGCATCTCGAATGCTAGACGAACTTCTCCTTCTTGCCCAAAACTGCACCTGATTATTTTTATTCAATCCCATGGAAATAGAGCTGGAATAGTGCCTATTCACCTGGTAGAAGTGAGAATTCATTTGCCATTGGAACAGGTCCCAGCGGCTGAATGGTTTCCGACTTCGCCTTGCAGCCGTGAGGCCCTAGGTTCGAACCCCGATGTATGTATATTGATGAAGAGTCCCAAACTAGGATGAAACAGTCACCCAGGTTTTTTAATACTTCTCTAGCTAGCAACAAATCGTCTTTAAACTTATAAAAAATTACTCTAATTTTATGATAATTTGTTGACGTATAATTATAATTATTGTTTTGAGCCTTTCGTAAATCCCATTGTTTTGCTACTTTCTTTTTCTATATATACTAGCCAGTTAGTATATTTCCTCCGTGTATACTGGATCTTTCATTTTGGCTGAATAAATCAGATATATTACCGTCATCGCCTGGTCCTGATGGTTCAGATAATGTAAAAGTAATCGAGAGGAATATTTTTGACATTGTACGCTCTGAGGCTGGGGATTTAATTGAACAAGTAAGATTAGAAGTTATATCCCGTTAAATGTATTAATTTGTTTAAATGTACAACGACTTTTTTCTGTTTTAAAAGGAAAAAGGGCGCCACTTTGAATGCAATAGTCACAATTGTTACGACGAAAGGTTACGTGGTGATAGACAATTTCACTTTGAAATGTTTTCACACGCACACACACACAAATGTGTCACGTTGTCCATATATTGATTCAGTGTAGTTGTAGGCATTTGATAATGGGGGAAAACAGTGGGAAGTGCCATCAGCCCCAACGGGTTGATCTCTGACGAAATCTCAGCACGAATACAGAGGGCTAGTTTCGCTGTCTCTGGCGTAGACTCAATATCCGACTATCGACCAAAGGGCGTGTGTACTGCTCAACAGTCCGCTCCGTCCTCCTTTATGGCTGTGAGACCTGGCCATTGAGAGCAGAAGACATGAAAAGATTAGCTGTCTTAGATCATAGGTGTCTGCGTTCTATCTCCCACGTGAAGTGGTATAATAAGGTGAGCAATATTGAGGTTAGGCGTCGAGTGCTAGGTAAGGCGGGGAAATCAATCGACGAAACTGTGAAATTACATCGACTGAGATGGTTAGGACATGTGTTGCGTATGCCTAGTCATCGCCTTCCTCGACGGGCAATGTTAGCTGATATAGGGTCAGGCTGGAAAAGAGCTAGCGGCGGTCAAACGAAAACATGGCACCAGTCAATGAAATCTACAACAGTTAGTTTAAGCAAGCCACGTAGGAAGGTGTGGACTTCCTGGTTGGGGGTCCTCGGGACGGTAAAAACCAATGGTTGGAAACAATTGGTGACATGGCTCAAAATCGTTCTCAATGGCTGGTGCAGATGCATCCACTCCTTGTGACTTATGATTTCCAATGAAAGTGTATTGTTCTTCGTTATTACTATTCCTTTGTCTCACACCTCTGTTTACTGTCTATATTATGCATTTCTCCTACTTTCTTCTTCTCTTGCTTTGTGTGCTACATGGAGTGTGGCGACTTGAACTGCCGCACATCTGTGCAAAGTTCTATGTCGAAAACCGACCGACCGAAAAAACAGTGTCCCAAATCTTTATCAACCTCATTCAACAGCAGGCTATGTGACAATGCACGTGTCAGATGATCCACAATAGAAAATTCAGAGAGGCGTTCGAAGTGAATACACTATTAAGATAGGGCTATGTATTATCATTGATGATACTCTTAATTGTGGTGGACTGGATTAGACGTCAGACTGTGGGGAGCGAGAAGACAGGAATCCTCTGGACCACTGATAATAAGAATCTAGAAGATCTGGATTTCGCGCATGTGGATGATTTATGTCCAATGTTACAGAAACTGGAATACTTACAGGTGAAAACCAACAAACTGGCTGAACAAGCAGCCAGAGAATATAGAACTCCAGGTGAATATAGAGAAGACGGAGGTGATGAAGATAACCAACCACAACCAATAGCAGCAGCAGCAACAACAACCAATATCAATCACTATCACTTCCTTCACTTATCCAACTAGGAAGCATCATTTCAACCATAGGCAGTCGGAACGGATGAAGATATCAGAACCAGCCAGTCAGTCGCAATCGCAAACGCAAGATACGCCTTTATCAACCTGAAACCAGTTTGGAAATCTTCTACTTCACTCAGCCAACATAAAGAACAAGATTCGGATTCTATTCAACACAAATGTGGAATCAGTCAGTTCTTCTAAATGGGTCAGAAACATGGCGCATCACGAAGAAGATTTCCAGCAGGCTACTGCAGACACCTTTATCAATAGCTGCCTTCAATGTGATAGTGCACTTGCCAACCACGCACGTAGTCTCAGCCAACGGATCTTTAAACCTCGATTAGCCGGTAGTAAGGCCTATAAAAAAGGAAGGCTCGGAGTGAGGCCAGAGACACTCACTGCTGTTACTGAAAATTCAAAGCTCAAGCTTCCAGCTGTATGTTCCACTCGGATCACAAAAGGAATAAACAAGGTTATGCGGTAACACATTTATACACTTTTATTTTAAAAGGTATTTGACTGAACATAGCGATAATAGATGGAGGTAATAATATTCCTTCATATTGGTTTCAATAGCACCGATGTCATGAATAGTAGTAATCAAAACAAGTGATTCCGCGAAGAGATTCTTTTCAACAACGAATTTATCATCAAGCTGTACAATCGTATATATATGGTTTTTAAGAAGTTATATCCGGTGAGGGAATTGAATCACAGGTGTGAATGCATAAAATAATAATAATAGTAGTATGAAATGCAATTAAAACTAAAATGTTTGTGATTATAATCATAGTTAAATGTCAAGTGGCAAAACAAATCAATGTCATATATAGAATAATTCATAGGATGGATAGAACTTGAAAAAAGGGTGTGCAATTATAGGATTAGTAGACAAATCGAATAAAATAAAAACGTTACGTAATATTGTGTGAAATTTGATAGCATAGAATTTAACGTTGTAAAAAAGAATTGATTTAGAATGACAAGTGGAACAAGTGAAATAATACCGGAGACAATTCAAAGTGAGAATAGTAATAGTAACAATTGACGTAATAAGGAAGAGACTACAAATTGAATAGACAAAATGAAAAATTGGTAGAGCTAAAATATGATTGGGGATTACCATACTTTAGCATAGAGGGATTAAGACCATGAAAGTTGGAGGGGTTGAACGAACTTTTTCTTTACACAGAGATCTGGCTTTTCTGTTTCGATAGCCAAAGATGGCTTCAGCAATACAGATGAGTCGGGTACGTAGGGATTTGGGTAAATTACTCTTTGCCTTGTAGATGACTTTAAAGGCGGAGGCTATAGAGATAGGGTGATCATTATCGACCAGATGTTCAATGATCGCGCTTCTTATTGCTCCACTTCCACCTCTTCGTAACCATGCTGGGGGATAGTGTTCTTGCACCCTCTTGGACAAAACTCGAGTCGAACGACCGATATACCTAGCTCCACACGAGCAGGTGAATTGATAAACACACATAGAGTTGGTCAACAGTGGGATCTTGTCCTTCAGGTTATTGAACAGTAATGGTCGACTAGTAAAGGCTATTCTCAGAGATGCAGCAGGGAATGTTCTTTTCAGGGACTGTGATATCCTTCGTTTCATGATATCGGAAGCTAAGTTCCCTTTTAATTCCAAGCTCATGTACAGTATGTTCTTGGGTACGGATGATAAGTCACGTTTTACAGGATTTGAATGTATATTCTTATCTATAAAACGTGGTGTAAATCCATTTTCTATTAGGATTTTCCTCAAAAGATATAACTCATCCTCCACAGTATCAGGGCTACATATGCGCCGAATGCGAGTGGCAAGCGACCGGACCAGGTTTCGTTTTCGACCAATGGGTACCCAGCTGTAGAAATTTGTCAGTTGACCATTCCATGACAGCTTTCGATAAATCGATCTCTTCAGAGTTCCATCGGTCCTCCTTGATAAGTTCACATCGAGGAAATGAATGCTAGACTCGTTCTCCATTTCGAGTGTGAATTTTATCGCAGGATGGCAACCATTAAATACATTTAATATATTATTCAAGTTACAATCACTATTACAAATAATAAAGGTGTCATCTACATACCTTTTATACATTTGAAAGCTTTGGATTGTAGGCTTCAACTGACCATTTTCTAGACTGGACATAAAACAGTCTGCAAGGAGAGGACCCAAGGGAGAACCCATTGCAATACCATCCTTCTGTCTGTAGATTGTTTCATTGAAAGTAAACTGTACATTCAATGTACATCTCAAAAGTAGTTCTTTCAGATCTGTAGTGGGTATCCCTATATTCAATTTGTTGTCTTCAATATATTTGGACATAAAACATATGGTTTCTGTCAGTGGAACGTTCGTAAATAGGGATTCTACATCCAAAGACAACATATGTTTATTCGAAGCATTTGTATCCTGTATACATTCAACAAATTGGAAGGTGTCACGAAGGGAATGATTAGATAGTTGTCCCCTGACAGGTTCGAGGATTTCAGCTAACCACCCAGCTACTGGATGATAAGGTGATCCAGACATATCCAAGATAGGGCGGAGTGGAAGGCCAGCTTTGTGTATCTTCGGTAGACCATAAAGTCTTGGTATTAGAGATCCTGTTGGTCTGATCTTTTCGTACAATTCTTCACGAATGAGATGATTGTTCTTCATTCTCTTTAAAGCTTCGGTAAGTTGTTTCTCAATTAATTCCGTCTTGTTTTTCTCGTTCGGTTTCGAGAATTTACTGCTGTCTGAAAGTAGACATGACATTTTATCGATATAATCTTTGGAGAACCATTGAAAACCCGGGAGTACTTGATAGTTGTTTCGTCCGTCTAGTTCAGGATTCATCGGCAGTACGCGCCTGCAGCCATGGTTCGAACCCAGGACCTTCTGGTTACAAGAAAAGCTCGTAGATCATTCAACCACTGTGACCTGACTCAATGGCCAGCTCATGAATTCGAACTTCTACCAGTCCGTGATTTTAGCACGACTGGCACCAGCCAATTTCATCACTGACGAGTATTTGTCCTCACCTCTGACCAGATGGACTCCACTGTTCACGACTTCTGACTAAAACTCCAGGCAGCTTCGTTCCGTATTCAGTTACTAGCTAGCATCAAATAAATTATCAAAAAGGTAGTTTGTAGGAATGTGGTTTCTTTCAATTTTAACCACACATTGATATCAGTTAGACCTTTGAATTCTAGCTTCTGTCACTTCGCGATTTTCAGCGACAACCCCAATGACTGACTTCAGGATGAAGTCGTCTGAATTTGTAGTGAGAAGTTGTGACCCTTCCTGTCTACTAAGTTGGGTACGATGAATGATACTCGCCAGTGGGCACTGCCCGGTCGTTGCACTGTACATCGCAAATCGGTAGAAGTTATAACTGATGGGCCATTGGATTTCGTCACAGTAACTGAATGGTTCTAGGTTCGATCCCCACTTGGGTGGGGTCATGAGTGAGTACTGATGATGACTCCGAAACTTGAAGGAAACAGTTTTCAAGTACTCCCTCCTATTTTTCAATGGTTCTCTAATTGATATCAATCCGTAGTCAAATTTGAAACAAACCAAAATCTCTACAAACTAACTTTTGAATATTAATCATATAACAGGTGACAAGTCGTCCACTAAGAGTAATTCATACGATGATTAGACATCCATCGCATTCTTATCAATAGATGTAAGGTTGTGTTTCTATTTCCTATATTACCAAGGAACACTCAGATTTACCTTAAATGGTCCACCATCCTACCTAAACGTTTTCGAAATAGCAGCTTGCCTATCGGGAAAATGGTATTATAAAATACACAATTTTTTATGATATTATAAATGTTTTTTTTCCTTCACGTTCCCCAGTGGAACATAGGGCCTCAAGCTAGTGGCTTGAAGTTTCTGTAGCAGTGTTTATTTTACAGGATGGGGTTGCTAGTCTCATGCCCAACCTTTCCTTTTCACAGCATTATTTGGCTTAGTGAGGTAAAGGTGCGTCGGCCGGGACCGAACCGACATGTACATGGTCGGCGAGCGTCTAACGCTATGCCACGACGCCATAAAATGTAGCAAGTGAGTATCCTTCACTTAGGACTTTGAATGTTTAAGTTCAAAAACTTTCTGACATTTTGATGTATCTAACTGGCAAATATGTTTTCACGGAACATCTAGCAATTTTAAGATAGCTTTGATGAATTTTTCTCGTTATTAGGATTTTATGATAAAAGGCGATAATATTTAAAGCAATATTGTCTTACTACTAACACCATAAATAAGTAGCTTAAAGTAGTTCGAAGAAAATAGTTTCTGAAAAGGAAAACGTATTACTGTTAATTAAGACAAATAAAATAGAGATTTTTGGAAGACTGTGGTAAATGAGTTTCCATGTGAATATGTAAATATGAATGAGGGCAAGTATGGGAAACTTTTTGGAGAAGAGTTTCTTGCCTGAAATGTCTCTTTTGTGTTTATAAATTCAGTAAATAATTGTTTGTTTATTCGTCTTCCTCTCACTCGCAATTCGTTTACGTGTTTTCCATCTTTCTCGTTCAGATTCGTTTAGTGGATTCCTATACTGATTCAAAAACAGGACGACAAAGTCTTTGTTATCGTTTCATCTATCGTGATCAACACAAAACACTGACAATGGATGAAGTACGACCATTGCATGAAGCTATCGGTCAAGTTCTGGCTGATAAGTTGAATCTGTCGATTCGTTAGTCCTACAATTTCGATGGTGACATCATAGTTATTCTTTATTTCAATATACTCTCTCCCTACTGATTATTGGTTGATTATATAATAATAATAATCGAAAATGGGGATAATATTGAGAACTTTAATTACTGTCATCATTTGTTGTACATATATTTTTTCTTTATTTTGTTCATATTTGCCTTCTTTTGTGAAGGATCATTTCCCTGTGTAGTTGAACTCCTCCTTTTCCCTGTTTCCCTACCCTCCGCGCGAAATACGATTCATCCATGGCTTGTTGTATGACACACAGCTGATATTAATGTGAATGTGTTATTCATTGATGCGGGGAGTATTGTTTCTGTGACCAAATATTGTTTGTTTTTTCATTTCTCTGCTAACCTGTGGATATTCATCTTCATGCACACATGCCTACGTACATTTGATTTTGTCTTAATTGTGCCTAGTGCATGCATATGCTTCTTTGTGATGATTGTTTCCTGTTCATCACAGAGATTGTACATTATTATTACTCCTGGTATTTGAAATACAATATTACAACAGTTATACTAGAAATATGGCTTTTTCCTTGTTGGTATTGTCTACTTTTGCCAACGAAAGTTAAACATGTAAAGTATTGCAGTGGAATACCTTTTAGTCTGTTTTATTGTGGCGTGTACTACTCGAAAGATTTATCAGTAGTATGTCAAGGAACGTCCTTCGGAACAAAAATATCAAATAGCGGAGAGATAGATTTGAAGTGAAAGAGGGGAAATAAACCAGTATTGCGGCAAAACATAGGAGACACGAAAAAAGACAATGAAACACAATACGAAGGGTAGGGTGAGGTGACGTATGCCTGTAGTCTAGCTACTCAAAGGCCATGAATTTCTGGTATATGGGTGCTCATTGTTGACCGGGCGTCCACACTGAGCATGGCACCTATATGAATGACCTGTCAGAGGGTGGGGTGGACCGGCTCAGGAGGTAATCCGACAGGCAAAAGTCCCCTCGTGGCGAGTATTTCTCCTCACCTCTGACCAGATGGACTCCACTGTTCACGACTTCTGACTAAAACTCCAGCAGCTTCGTTCTGCATTCAGTTACTAGCTGGCATCAAATAATTTTTCAAAAGTTAGTTTGTAGTTATGTGGTTTGTTTCAACTTTAACCACTCATTGATATCAGTTAGACCTTTGAATTCTTCAAGTACTCCCTCCTGTTTTTCAATGGTTCTCTAATTGATATCAATCCGCGGTCAAATTTGAAACAAACCAAATCTCTACAAACTAACTCTTGAATATTAATCATATAACAGGTGACAAGTCGTCCACCAAGAGTAACTCATAAGATGTTTAAGCATCCAGCGCATTCTTATCAATAAGTGTAAGGCTGTGTTTCCATTTCCCATATTACCAAGGAACAGTCAGATTTACCTTACATGGTCCACCATCCTGCCTAAACGTTCTTGAAATAGGAGCGTACCTATCGAGAAAGTGGTATTATTATTACGAGATCGCCTTGTAACCAGAAGGTCCTGGGTTCGAACCCCGGTGGGTGCGTACTGCTGAAGAGCCCTAAGCCAGGACCTAGCAACTGTCCAGTACTCCCAGGTTTTCCAGTGGTTCTCTAACTGATGTCAGCTCATGATGAAATCCTTCATGCAATCAAACAAAATCCCTACAAAACCACTACTTGAGAATATTATAAAATACACAAGTTTTGGGATATTAATAAATTCTAGCAAGTGAGTATCCTTCACTTAGGACTGTGAATGTGTAATTTCAAAAGCTTTCTAACATATTGATGTATCTAACCGGCAAATAATTTTTCACGGAACACCTAGCTTTGATGAAGTTTTTTTGTTTTTTTCCGTACGGAGGATTTTATGGCAGGAGGTGATAATATTTAAAGCAATATTGTCTTACTACTAACACTATAAATAAGTAGCTTTGGTGTTTTGAAGAAAATAGTTTCTGAAAAGAAAATTTGGAAGACTGTGGTAAATGAGTTTCCATGTGAATATGTAAATACGAATGAGGGCAATTATGGGAAACTTTTTGAAGAAGAGTTTCTTGCCTGGAATGTCTATTTTGTGGTTTTAAATTCAATAAAAAATTGGCTGTTTATTCGTTTTCCTCTCACTCGCTCTTTGTTTACATGTTTTCCATCTTTCTCATTCAGATTCGTATACTGATTCAAAAACAGGACGGCAAAGTCTTTGCTATCGTTTCATCTATCGTGACCAACACAAAACACTGACAATGGATGAAGTACGACCATTGCATGACGCTATTGGTCAAGTTCTGGCTGACAAGCTGAATCTGTCAATTCGTTAGTCCTACAATTTCGATGTTGACATCATAGTTATTCCTTATTTCAATATACTCCCTCCCTACTGATTATTGGTTGATTATATAATAATAATAATAATAATAATAGTGATAATCGAAAATGGGGATAATATTGAGAATGGTAGTTACTGTCATCACTTATTGTACATATTATTTTTCTTTATTTTGTTCATATTTACCTTCTTTTGTGAGGGATCATTTCCCTGTGTAGTGGAACTACTCCTTCCCCCCCCCCCCTCCGTGCTGAATACAATTCATCCATGGCTTGTTGTATGACACACAGCTGATATTGATGTGAATGTGTTATTCATTAATTCGGGAAGTATTGTTTCTGTGACCAAATAGTGTTTGTTTTTTTCATTTCTCTGCTAACCTGTGGATATTCACCTTCATACACATATGCCTACGTACACTTGATTTTCGTGTTCATTGTGCCTAGTGCATGCATGTGCTTCTTTGTGATGATTGTTTCTTGTTCATCACAGAGATATTGTACATTATTATTACTACTGGTATTTGAATTACAATATTTTTTTTTTTTGATTTACAGCTTGATTTCCACACCGTATTTTCAGTACAAGTGTGGAATTTTCAGCATGGATATCGGTTGCCCAAATTCAGGCCGACCATAGATATCGGGTGTGCGCCGGCAGGGGATCGAACCCCGGACCATGTGCATGGTCGGCGAGAGTCCTAACCACTGTGCCACCGACGCACACAACAGTTATACTAGAAATATGGCTTTTTCTTTATTGTTATTGTCTACTAACTGTCAACAACAGTTTAACATGTGAAGTATTGTAGTGGAATATCTTTCAGTCTGCTTTATTGTGGAGTGTGCTACTCAAAAGATTTATCAGTATTATATCAAGAGATTTTCTTCAAAAGAAAAATATCAAGTAGCGGAGAGATAGACTTGAAATCGAAGAGAGGAAATTGACCAGCGTTGCGGCAAAACACAGGTGACACGAAAAGGAGGCAAAGAAACACAGTACGAAGGGCCGGGCGTGGTGGCTACTTGGAGGCCAGGGATTTTAGGCATATGGATGCTCCGGGGGTTCACACTAATAATGGCGCCGATACGGATGACCTGTTGGAGGGTGGGGCGGACCAGCCCAGGGAGGAGACCCGACATGTAAAAGTCCCCGCGTGGTACGGTCCCGGAAAGGCGTCTGCGAATTATGGACATGTGACAGACCGGTCGGCACGTGGACACCGTCTGTTAAGTTGACCTGGAAAAACCCACTCTCCGACAGGTCTTTCATATCGGCGCCGTTCTTAGTGTGGACGCCCGGTCAACAATAAGCACCCACATGCCGAAAACTCATGGCCTCCATGTAGGTAGATTCCAAGCATACGCCCACCCCTTCCTAATGTGTTTCTTTGTCTTCCCTTTGTTCCTTCTTTGTTTTGCCGCTAAACTGATCGACTTCAAATCTATCTCTTCGCTATTTGATATTTTTGTTCCGAAGAACGTTTCTTGACATACTACTGATAAATCTTGTCAGTAGCGCACGTGCCACATTATCACTCACATTGTATCCTTTGGTGAGTAAAATGTGGTCATTGAATTAATTGGGCCGGTTGATTTAATGGCGAAGCTTACGTCGTCCACCTTCTAGAAAACATTTTCAGTGCAGTTTTTAGTATAAAATGAACTAATTTAAATTAATGATGCACATCCATCACTCATTTTCACATGTGAAGAAGAACATGATGGCAGACTACATTTCCTTGACGTCCAATTGAGTAGAAGAGAGGATGGTTCACTCAACAGAGATGTCTATAGAAAACCTACATCTGTAGGGAAATATACACATTTCCTCAGTTTTGTACCAATCCGATACAAAGTCAATTTGGCCAAATGCCTCACGAATAGAGCAAGATGATTCCCTACAAAATGAGTTAGGATACATCCAAAATACGCTGGTCCAAATGGGTTATACCAGTAGGTTTGTAAGGAGACACATGAACACCAGGTACAATAAAGAGAAACTGATAACAGTTGCAAAGAAGCAACTGTTCATGAAATCGCAATTTAATGAGGATGTGGCTAGTGAAGTCTCACATCTGAGATTATCGAGAGCGATAAAACGGACTTATACTGCCGCCACCCTTTGTTTGTCATTTTCCAGCCGATCAATTATGATTGCTCAAGTGGAAGACAAGCTAACTAGCTTTGCCGCTTCTATGTATATCCATAAATTTAGTTGCTCCTGTGGAGAAAGCTATATAGGGCGAACAACTAGACAGCTGAACAAACGCATTAATGAGCATCTTCCTTCATGGTTCGGAAAAGGTCAAATAAAATATATAAGAAGTTCTATTTTGGCTCATTTGATTGATAGCGGTCACCAAGTGGACAAAAATAATGCCTTCAAAGTTATCTATCGTATTCCATCGCGTCTTTCGAAAGGAATCAGAAACCGTCTTTTACACCTAGCCGAAGCTATGGGAATTCGAGAGAACAATCCTAGTTTGCATACAGAAGAAGTTTGTTCTACCTTTTTGTCTCTCCCTTGGCCTAGGTGAACTGTATTCAAAACCTTCCCAACCTTTCTTATTTTCCATTTCCGTCGTACTTTTATGATATTTATTTAAACTCTGATTATTTGTCCACTTCACCTTTAGTATTGCGTAACTTTTGAGATTTGACCTAATTTATTTATTTACTGAATTTTTTACTTATACACATATTACTTACTCCCTTTGTTATTCTTGTCGCCACCTGCATAAACCTTATCAATATTTTGTTATCAATATAACCATCGTTATTAATGACGTTCAAAACATTTAACATATGACTATTTGATCCATAAAATCACCGTCATTGGTTGAAATTGTTATATATAAATCTATGTAAATTAGAGTAAATCCTGAAGAAGATCTAATTGAAAACGATATTGTTCGCTTAAATGTCTTGTTCTTATTTAAATTCCCCATGAGTGATGATATAATTGTGTCTACTGACATACAGCCTTTATCGTGACTGGTCGCTTGTTAATTTACGTCTCTATATTGATCATCTTTATATTGACTTGGAACTCGAACTCTCTTGTCATGTGATTTACTTTTTAGCAGCTGGTAAATTTAGTCAACAGAGGTAATGTGTTTGTTAATCGCTAGCT